AACACTGAGGGGCTGGAGCGTGTGCAGGGAAGGGAAGGGAGCTGGGAAGGGAGCTGGGAAGGGGCTGGAGCAGCAGGAGCAGCTGAGGGAGCTGGGGGGGCTCAGCCTGGAGAAAAGGAGGCTCAGGGGGGACCTTCTGGCTCTGCAACCCCCTGACAGGAGGGGGGAACTGGGGGGGGTCGGGCTCTGCTCCCAGGGAACAAGGGACAGGAGGAGAGGGGACGGCCTCAGGCTGTGCCAGGGGAGGGTCAGGTTGGATATTGGGAAAATTCCTCCTGGAAAGGGCTGTCCAGCCCTGGCACAGCTGCCCAGGGCAGGGGTGGAGTCCCCATCCCTGGAGGGATTCCAAAGCCCTGTGGATGTGGCACCTGGGGACATGGTCAGTGGTGGCCTTGGCAGTGCTGGGGGACCAGCTGGATTTGATGATCTCAGAGGCCTTTTCCAACCTTGACAATTCCATGATTTCATGATTATCAGAGAAAAGGAAGAACTGCCTGGTGCTTCACTCACTTGATCTGCTCCTCACTCTTCTTGTCTTCCTTCTTCTCCCCAGGAACGGGTGAGGAAGAGGAAGTTCCAGTCTCCAAAGCCTCTCTCTGCAGCTTTTCCACTTCCTGCACCAAACCAGCATCCAAATCAGCCACACCTGCCTGGAAACAGAAAGGAAGAAACCATCTGTCTGCACCATGGAAGCTGAGCAGCCCTTCCCCAGCAGCTCTCCCACCCCATTGTCCAACCTGACCTGGAAATTCAAACCTCTGTGTTGGAGTCCACAGCAGGATTTATGGACTAGGGATGATACATATCCTTGGCTCCAGAAATTATAAGGATTAAAAGAGGGATCTCAGCAGAGCCAGGTGATCTGACCTCACCTTTTACAACTGAGATGTAGACAGGGCACCTCCTACTTTATATTTTATAGGATCAGAGGGAATGTTTAGACTGGGAAGGAATTCCTGGCTGGGAGGGTGGGGAGGCCCTGGCACAGGCTGTCCAGAGAAGCTGTGGCTGCCCCTGGATCCCTGGAAGTGTCCAAGGCCAGGTTGGACAGGGCTTGGAGCAACCTGGGCTGGTGGAAGGTGTCCCTGCCCACGGCAGGGGGTGGCACTGGATGATCCTTAGGATCCCTTCCAACCCAGACCATTCTGGGATTCTAATTCCCATTTAATAGATTATTAAGGTCAGATAATGGGCCTACCCTCTGCTGACAGGAATTCCTCTTCATTAACTGGTGCACCTCTGCTCTGCACACATTTTTTGCCCAACCCATCCCACAATCATTTCTCAGTTTGATTTCGACGGGGAAAAGCTGAACTTGAGGCAAATCCCATTTTGGCAGCACAGTAGCCAGTTCTAAGGTGGATTCTGGGCCAGGCATTACCTTATCCTTCTTCTCCTTGTCCTCTTTCTCCTCATCTTCCACCTCCTCACCAACCTCAGACCCAAAGTCAGCCTTGGACTCCCCCCTGTCTCCCAGCAGGTATTTGCTCCGTAACTTGGCCTCTATGTCTTTCTCCTGTTGACTGGGGGAGAAAACAGCTCCTGAAGCATCATATTCCACATGGGAAAACCTGTGATCCTGCCAGCATCAGATTTCCAAAGAAAACCCCCTTTTCCCCTTGGTCTCATCCCCAAACACCCCACCTTCCCCCTCCACGCTTCCCACATCCATCATAATCTTTATCCACTCTCTTCCTCTCTTTTTCCATGACTTCCCTTCAGGTCTCCTGGATATTGAAGCTTTTTGATGGGTATTTTTATACTTTCCATAACTGTGATCCAGATTAAATCACATTAACTCTGCTCATTCCCATCCCCTTATTTTAACCTTCAATCCAGGCTGGAAGGGGCTTGGAGCAACCTGTGGAAGGTGTCCCTGCCCATGGCAGGGGTGGAACTGGATGAGCTTTAAGGTCCTTCCATCCCAAACCATCCTGGAATTCCATGATCTTACCTTATAATCGCTTTGAACTGTTTAAACACCTCCTGGATTTGCCTGATGTTCACTATCTGAGGAAGAGAGGCATAAATCCAACACTGTTGGTATTCATTCTTTAAAGAAGTTCCAAATAAACCAATTTAAAGGGTTTTAGGACTGAGGAAAATTGTCCTCAAGCTTCCAAAACATGGAGACAGTCCCTAACGTGCAAAAAAGGAGTTAAATTACAGTTCTGTAGTGCTTTGGGGTGGAAAAAAAAGCCTCTTCAGAAGACACTTTTATTGTGTCTTCCTGGAGGAAAATGGGATGGAATCAATATTTCAGTCCTTTTTCACCAAAAAGCCACTTACATCGATCTCCTCAATGTCTCCTCTGAGGTATTTGTGGACTTGGGATTTAATTGCTGCTCTCTGGGCACCAGTCAGGGGGCTGTAAGTCACCAAACGATTTTCCTGAGGAAAAAATGTGGAAAACTGAGGATCAGGGAGTTACAAACAGGTGGGGGGGAGAGGAGAACGATGGGGACAAAGCTTTCAGCAGGGCCTGTCGGGGTGGGACAAGGGGGGAGGGTTTGAAACTAAAAGGGGGGAGATTCACACTGGATTTAAGGAAGGAATTCTTCTCTGGGAGGGTGGCACAGGTTGTCCTGAGAAGCTGGAACTGTTCCAGGCCAGGTTGGACGGGGCTTGGAGCACCCTGGGCTAGTGGGAGGTGTCCCTGCCCATGGCAGGGGGTGGCATTGGGTGATCCTTAAGGTCCCTTCCAACCCAAACCAGTCTGGAACTCCGGAATTCCACCAGTCTGGCAAACACCTGACATTACTGTGCCCATTTCTGATTGGGATTCTCATCACCTGACTTGGCAGGTGATGGGATTTGGGAAGCAAACATTCCCCTTCCCGTTCCAACCAGCAACAGAAGGGCTTCAAGAGCCTTAAAAAAACATCTCTGGTGGCTCAGGATTGAAGTTACAACAAAACCTCCCTGTGTGGGATCTTCAGAGCTTCCCCTAATCCCCAAAAGATGGTGTTGGAAGCTGAAGGAAGAATCCAATCCCACTGGACACTGAGTTAACTGATCCTTACAAACATGTCCTTCATGGTCAGTTCGTGCTTCAGGAGATCAATCTCCTCCTCCAGAGCCTTCACTGACACCTAACAGGGGAAAAAAGGGTGAGCAAATCACTAAATTATATTGGAGGGGGGAAAAAAAAACTAAAAGAAGCACAGAACTGGCTGCTGGAGGATATCCCAGCTGGATAGCAGCTCCCTCAGGGTTTGCAGAGGGAATTGGTGGGTCTGGAACACATTTTGCCCTTGATTAGCTCCCAGCAGGACAGTTTCTGTCCTGCAGAGTCTCCTTAAGCCATCAAAAGAAGGGCCACCTGCTTTTTAGTGTGATGATTTCCTGATCTGGCATTGTAGGGATCAGCAAGTTCTGGACTCTGGGATATTATCTGGGAAGCCAAGCAGAACTGAGCAGCTCTGACCCCACTGGGACAGAGGAGGGAGCCTCCTGGGCTGGGTTGGACTGAATGGCTCCAGAACCTGGAACACCTTCAAGGATTCACTCTTTAAAATGTGTTCCCAGAAAGGTGTGAGTACCCAAATCTTGGGATTCAGGGAGAACTGGACACTGTTTTGAAGGGAGCTGTGAAGCATCAAAGCACAAAGGTTCCTTAAACACTCCAATTTCAGCTCCTCTGGTTTGGTTTTTTCCACTCCTCCAGCTGTGGAAGTACCCTCAGGACACCTAAAATCCTGTGATCCTTGTCCTTAAATTATTCTTTAAATAATTCCTTAAATTATTTCCTTGTTCAACCAAGTTTTCCCAGTTGTGGAAAAGATGTTACTTCACCAGCAGGAATGGGGATAACGCCATGTAAAGCTGCAGGTAGGATTGGGGTGATTTCCCCACAGGTCAGGGGAGTAGTTCACAATAAAATATCTCTGTTGAGAGGTGAATCTTATCAGAAAAAGATTCACATGCAGTTGAAAAAATTTCCACATGTCACTGCCTGGCTGTTCCCTCTCAGCTAACTGGATACCTATTTAAAAAGTTTAATATTAATCCATTTTGTCATCCACCTAAAATTAGCAATGTCAGCTTGGCTGAGAAGGGATGACTTATGGAACTACCTAATTTTCCTCTGGTTTTTAAGGTTATTATCCTAAATATTAATGACTTTGAGCAAAAATTCCTTCCTCCACTCCCGTTCTTTCCTTACCTCCTGCTCAAACGTCACGTTGGCAACTGGCTCTGCCATGATCCACCTCATCCTGGTGGCAAAGCGCAGGGAAGACAACTGGAAAACAAGGATTTTAAGGAACTGAAAGAGATACTGGCAGGGAGATCATTTTCCAAACCTGTTACTGCTTAATTAAGTCAGATACAAGGACACAGAAATATAAAAAATCTATTTAACTGCTCCGTGTCAGATCCAAGGACATGGAAATATGAAATCTATTTAACTGTTAAGTTTTAATCCATTTAAAGTCTATGTCACTGCTCCAAGGGATTCCCTCCTGTGTGTTACAGGTGTGGTTAAGCTCATCCAGTTCACAAAGGGAGATTGTCCCTGATTTTATCGTTTCACAGGTTAAAAACCAACCTGTTGGGAAGTTCCTCCTGATTCCTGATCCAGCTCTGCTGTGAACTGGTGCAATTCCAGTGAGCCCATTATGTGATGTCCCATGGAAACCCATTAGAGCTGGATAATAATGATAATTAACACTCTCCAGTGAGCTTAAATGTGAGCTGCCCTGCTCCAGGCTCTCAGCTGACAGGAGTCTGTTTTCTGAGCCTCTGAGATAAGATGAGCTTTCCAACGTTTGGGATGAATCAGGCAGGATGTTTCCCTTCCAGAACCCTCCAGAGGCTGTTCCTTAAACCAAGGAGCAGCAGGAACAAGGCTTGGATCCTGCAGGAATCCCTTCAACTCACCGTCTCTTCCACATGAGCAGCTTCCCCACAGATGTTGGTCACCAGGACAGTGTTGCAGTTTCCCCCTGGGAAAAATAATAATAAAAATAAAGTAAAGAATATAATTGGGGGGGTTGTTGTTTCCTTTTCTGGAATTCATTATGTTATGTGCTGTTTAAAATACAGAAGAATCACAAAATTCCAGAATGGGTTGGGTTGGAAGGGACCTTAAGGATCATCCCATCCCACCCCCTGCCGTGGGCAGGGACACCTTTCACTAGCCCAGATTGCTCCAACCTGGCCTTGGACACTTCCAGGGATCCAGGGGCAGCTACAGCTTCTCTGGGCAACCTGGGCCAGGGCCTCCCCACCCTCCCAGCCAGGAATTCCTTCCCAGTATTCCACCTAAAGCCACTTTGATTTGAAGATGTCCAAAGGACACAGCCAGAGTGTGACTGTCCCTCCAGAGGGCACAGAGTGACTTAAAAACAAAGGTCAGATGTGTTTCCACGGAGTGACAATGCAATGAAAACATGGGAATAAAAACTGTGATTTCCAGGAGTTTATAAAGGTTGTGTTTTTCAGGATTCCCAGAGAAGCTGTGGATTCCATATCCCTGGAAGTGTCCAAGGCCAAGCTGGAGCAACCTGGGACAGTGGAGGGCATCCCTGCCCATGGCAGGGGGTGGCACTGGGTGAGGTTTAATGTCCCTTCCAACCCAAACCATTCCATGATAAATTATGGCCTTAGGACTTAATATTCTCATAGAAACAGCACTTTTAGGAGCCCTTTGGGGCTGTTGTGAGGCCCAGCCCTTACCCAGGGAGTCCTTGAGGACGTGAGTGAGTTTGCTCTGCCGGAAGGGAATGTGGTCCCTCCAGGGATCAGCCAGGGCCAGGATGATTTGCTCCAGGAACGTCAGGGACCTGTTGATGTAGAAGTTCTCTTTCCGGATGTGTCCTGCAGACTGCAAGGGAGATCAAAAGGGGAAGTTTCCATAACATGTTTCTGGCCAAACAGCAGGAAAAAGCAGAGAAAAAACCTCCGAGGGTCAGGAGCTGATTCAGACCCAACAAATTCATGATCTGGAGCTTTCTCCAGTTTGAAAACAAGCTTTCAGAGACCTCAATTTTTCATTACAAGTCTACAAGGACTTGGATTTCCTTCCCAAAGGGTGTGTTTGTCACAGGGCTGGTGCAATTTAAATTCTGATCAATACAGAATGTTATGGAATCAGGGAACTGCTGAGGGTGGGAAAGGCCTCTGAGATCGAGACCAACCAAGCACTGCCAAGGCCACCACTGCCCATGTCCCCAAATGCCACATCCACAGGGCTTTGAAATCCCTCCAGGGATGGAGACTCCACCCCTGCCCTGGGCAGCTGTGCCAGGGTTGGGTAGCCAGGAGGAAGTTTCTCTGGGAGCAGAGCCCGACCCCCCCCAGATCCCCCCTCCTGTCAGGGGGTTGCAGAGCCAGAAGGTCCCCCCTGAGCCTCCTTTTCTCCAGGCTGAGCCCCCCCAGCTCCCTCAGCTGCTCCTGCTGCTCCAGCCCCTTCCCCAGTTCCCTTCCCTTCCCTGGACATGCTCCAGCCCCTCCATGTCTTGCCCTGAGGGGCCCAAAACACGTGGGATCCGAGGGGTTCCCAGCACTCACCGGGACCTCGCTCAGTCTCTCAGAACCCGCCAGGTCTATCAAGGTGATTTTAGATTTAATGCCTTTGAGATTCCTGTAAACTCTGGAATGACACTGAGGGAGAACAGAATATAAATGGCACTTGAACTGAAACACAGTAAAAAAAAACAGACTGCAAAGGTCCTCTTTGAATCCCTAAAAAGCTGTTTGAAACATCTCTGGAGCTCTCACCTCAATATAAATAGTAAAGATGCAGTGGGATCTGGAGGAATTCTTATTCAGGGCGTGCTCTGCTATTGCTCTGTTGGTCCCACCCTGCAAATGGAGACAAAATTCAAGGCTCAGCTCATGGGATTGTGGCTTTTTGAGGAGCAGTCAGGGAACACCTCCCTGGATCTTTCAGTTACCCGCAGAAGAGCAGCTTTCCCTTCTCCAGGTGAACAACCCCAGCAATCCCAGCCTTCATCAGCATCCTTCTGCTCTTTAGAAAGGGATTTCCAGCACACTCCAGAGCTCAGGACACCACAGGCCCGTCATTAAAAAGGCCAGAGAAAGGTTTTAAGGACACCAGAGGGCTCTGGGTGAGAACACACTTCCTGCTTCCAGAGCCAACCATTTATTCCTGTTCTCCTCATGAACTGAAGGAGCCACAAGGAAAAGATGCTGATCTAAGCACTCAGACTCCCCTCACAAATCCAACCCACTGTGTGAACAGTCCTGCTGTAAAATCTAACCATGATCACCCCAAACTATCTGCCAAAGACCCTTTTCTTGGAGCATCTCCCAGAATCCCTGTGCCAGGGACATTTTCCTTGGGAGAACAAGGGCTGCAAAGATGTTCCACCCACAATAAGGAGAAAAAAGAGTGTTGGCTGCCCAACCCTCCTGGCCACACACCTCCTGCTTTCCTGCCTCCTCCCTCAGCCAACAAAATAATACAGAGAATAAAGGGAATGTTTGGGTTCTCTTGCCTCAGAAAGGAGATTTAGGGCCTGCTTCTCGTGGCTGACAGGATGGATGGACAGACCCTTGACACAAACCCCCTGAGGGGAATCCAGGACAGCCAGGGGGGTGTTCCTGGAACCAGGGCCCAGGAGGTCAAACAGGGCCTCGTTGTAGACTTCCAGGTAGGAAATTAGGACAGTGATGGAGAGGCCAGGGGATTCTTTAGCTGCTTGGAAGACCTGCACAATGACACAGAGTTTGTTTCCGTTCACAGACAGGATTTTTAGCTATTTATGGCTTCCCAGAGAAGATATTTCTATGTAGATGTTTATGTAAGATATAAACAGATATAAGATTAAAATAGATATGATTAAAATAGATATAAGACAGAAATAGATATAAGATATTAAGCTATATATAAGCTATACATTTATCTAAGATATGTAGAGATATGTATATAGAGATATTTCTGAACAGCTCCAAGTACATTTGGGTGTGTGGAGTTAAAGCTGAGCTGTGGTTGCCTGAGGGCTTGACTTGGATTTGGATTCAATGATCTTATGGAATCAGAGAATCCTGGAATGCTGTTGGCTGGAAAGGACCTTAAGGATCATCCAGTCCCACCCCCTGCCACGGGCAGGGACACCTTCCACTACCCAGGTTGCTCCAACCTGGCCTTGGACACTTCCAGGGATCCAGGGGCAGCCACAGCTTCTCTGGGCAACCTGGGCCAGGGCCTTAGAGGTATTTTCCAACCTTAATGGTTTTATGATCAGTTTTAACAGGATATCACAAAATGGTAGCTTGGAAAACACCCCTTTTGAAGGCTTGGTGACCTTTGGGGAGCAGCAAGACTTTTCCACGAGCAGGTAGAACTAAACCTCTGTGAATGACAGCCAAGCTGCTTTATTTCTTTAACCCTCATCCCTTAGGTGAAATGAAGGGGGAAAAAAAAGACATAAATCATATTCACTGTGTTAAAACACTTTTCTATCAGCGAGAGCAGATACAAGAGGTGTCCCTGGTATTCCTCCCAGCCCCTCTTCCCAGATCCAGTACCTGCTGGATGGCTCTGGGGATGATCCCTCGGTGCTCATACTCAGTTGCTCCAGTCATGGTGTAAGTTTTACCAGCCCCAGTTTGCCCATAACACATGATGGTGCCTGGAAAATCCCAAACCAAAAGGATAAACTCGGGGGGGGGGAGCCTCAAACAGAACAGCCAATGGATCTGTCCTCAAACCAAACCCCTATTTATTATAAAAATTACAAAAATAGCAATAAATCACCATTGTAGCCACGTAAAGCTGCAGCCACCAAGTCCCTGGCCACAGTCTCATAAACCTTGTCCTGGGAGGTGTTGTGGAGGAGCCCATCCATCCTGAAGGACCAGTCAGTGGAGGAGTTGTTCACAATCCCTCCCCTGGCATCTTTTTCGATGTGGATGTCGATGCTCTGCAACCCAAAAAGAGAGGGAGATCAATTCAACAGCGTGAGGAGCTCCAGGGATTGGGGACCTGGAATTAAGTAGGAAAGGGAGCACAAACACCAGGATTATTTCACTCCCTTGGATGGTTATGGATGTGCTAAAAATACCTGGTAATACTCTCGAATTTCTGGGGGTAATTATTCTAAATAAAGAAGAAATGTGGTTAAGCTCAACTGTTTAAATTTCAATTATTTTGTGTCTCAGGGAAATTCTGAATTAAGCACGAGAAGGTGAAGGGAGGAACTTGCACAAGGGGGGATAGAAATACTGTGCCAAGCTGTGGTTCCCACTGGGAATTCCTCCTGGATCAGTCAGTCCCAGCCCTTCTGAGGGTTTTCCTGGTGATTGTACCACCAGAAGTGTGTTTTCCATAGTCAACACCACTGTCAGGCAACACCACTGTCAGGCAGGAACCAACATGCCCCAAAACGTTATCCATGGCCTTAAGGGATGGGAAAATCCTGCCTTTTCCGTGGGCAAAGCTGAAAGCAAACTCCAAACCTTTCCCACTGGGAATTTCTTTCACTCTACCTTGTTGTCTGTCCCAAACTTGATCATGTCTCGGGCAAAATGAGCCGTGGGCTTGACTCGCACAAAGGCCTGGATTGGCTTTATGGGTCTAAACAGAGAGGGAAAAGCCAGGAAAATAAGGATGTTGCAATCCCTAAAATGACATTTATATCATTTGTTGGGAAAAGGAGAACTCCAGAGCAGTCAAATTTAAAAAATTAAGTGTTGGTAAAGGTTCAGCTGCAGTTTTTATTCTTTATTAAAAGCAACTGTGGGCAAAGAGCTGCTGGAAATCCTTTCCAGCCTTGTCCTGCTTGGAAAACTGAAAAGAGAAGGGTCTTAATGATCCTGATTTCCTCCTGTGTACCAGGCACAGGAGTGTTCAATAACACAAGTTTTCTTCCTCTCAGGCTTGCAAAGGGAAATATTTGCAGGAATAGGAGGGGGATTTTCTTTTGTTTGATTTTCTTTTGTTTTTTTAAATATTTTAAATTCCTAAAAAACACCCAAACTTCGGTTTCCTGGAGCAAATATCCAGCCAGGCTGGAGGATCTGCTGAGTAAAACCCACCTGAGGAGGGCTCAGGGACCATCCAGCTGCTAAAGCCACACCTGAGACACATGAACTGAATGTTTGGGAATCCCTGGAAGGTGTAGATCCCATATTTTCCCCTCAGTTATTTCCTCCAGACAGCCTGTGCTCAGTAATTATGTAATAATTAGTGATAACTTCTAGTTCAGGACAAAATCTTTTGAATTTCTTGTATATTCAGGATTTCTGGGATCTCTCCACCATTTTACCTGCTCTGAAATGAAATGTGGAGGTTGGAGCTGAACCAAGACTTGTTGGATTTAAAACCTTTGGGGGATACCTGAAAGAGTCACTATCAGGGAACAGAGAGAAATTGCTGTTCCCCTCCTCCTCCTCCTCTTCCTCCTCCTCCTTCTCCTGGGCCTGGGATCTCCTGGAGATTGCAGAAGCCTGTCCAAAAAAAAAAAAAAAAAAAACAAAACCCAGTGTTGGAGCAGTTGGGAATTATTTCTTCAAAGAAAGAAGTACAGCAGGGAAAGGAGGAGGGGAAAATCCTGGGGAAAAATTCTCCTATGGATCAGAGAGAACAAATTCCAAACGAGTGGAATTTTCCTCGCTGCAACAATGCCTGTTGCTGGATGTGAGGATAAAAGCAACGATTCCTGGGAGTGTTTATAAACACCAGGAGATGGGAAGCAACAGGTTGCCCAGAGAAATTGTGGCTGCCCCACCCCTGGAAGTGTCCAAGGCCAGGTTGGATGGGGCTTGGAGCAACCTGGGATAGTGGATGTGCTTTCAGGTCCCTTCCAACCCAAACCATTCCAGGATTCCAAGTGGGCCCAGCTGGGATTACCCTTGAATTAGTCTTTGTTTTGGAGGGAGAACCTCGTTGCTCTTCTGACCCCTGAACCTTCTTCTGCTTCTCTTCCTCCTGCCAGGGAAAACCAGACCCCATTCCATGTGAAAAACACACCTGGAGGCCCGGGAAAACCGACCCCTTTTGCCACACTGAACATGGATTCAGCCATCTCTCCAAGGCTTTGGGATTGAGAAGTTCCCCTTCCAACAGCTCAGGTGGGCAGGACTTTGGGCAAAATCCATCTCCAAGAGTTGGGAATTGCTCAGAGAAGCTGTGGCTGCCCCCTCCCTGGAATGTCCAAGGCCAGGTTGGAGCAACCTGGGCTAGTGGAAGGTGTCCCTGCCCCTGGCAGGGGGTTGGAATTAGATGATCCTTTAGGTCCTTTCCAGCCCAAACCAGCCTGGAATTCTGTGCCCAGCTGGGATTACCTGTTGGAAGGAGGAGGCAGAACCCTGTTGTTTTTCCAGCTGCTCAACCTCCTCCTGCCGATCTTCCTCCTGCCAGGGAAACACAGACCCCATTCCATGGGAAAAACACAATACCTGGACACACACGGACCAACTGAGCCTGTTTTGCTGCACCAAACACGGATTGAGCGATCTCTCCAAAGCCTTGGAAGTGAGAGGTTCCCTTCCCACACCTCGAGTGAGAAGATTTGGGCAGGAATTTGTGCAAAATCCGTCTGGAAGGGTTGGGACTTTCCAAGGGAAGCTGTGGCTGCCCCATCCCTGGAAGTGTCCCAGGCCAGGTTGGAGCAACCTGGGATAGTGGCAGGTGTCCCTGCCCATAGCACGGGGTGGAAAAGATGATCTTTAAGCTCCCTTCCATCCCAAACCGTTCCGGGGGGGGGAGAAGGGGGGATGCTGTGAGGGGGAGAGCGATGCCCGTGTGACCGCGCTCCCGGAGCCAGCAGCACCGACTAACCCTTGCGGAGCGAGGCGGCGACTCCTTCGTCATCCCCTTGCCCAGGCTTGGGCTCCGGCTCCGGCTCGAGGTGGCGTCCGGTGTCGCCATGGCAGCGTCCACTTCCTGTTCTTCATGGCAACGGCGGCTTCCGGTCCGTCCCGGAAGCGGAGCGGGTACGGCGGCCGGGCGGGGCCAGCGCGCGGCGGGGGCGAAGCGCGGCGGGAGCGGCCGGGACGATGCTGGAGGCGGCGGCGGCGGCGGAGCCCGAGCTGGACCCCGAGGACCTGGTGCATTTCTCGGTGGGAGACCTGCCCAGCCGCGGCTACGGCGTCATGGGCGAGATCCGGCGGCAGGGCAAGCTCTGCGATGTGACGCTCAAGGTGCGGGAGGTGTGGGGGGGACACGAGGGGTGAGAGGTGAGGGACCCTCCCGGTCACTGGGGGGGAACTGAGGGGGACTGAGGGATCCTGGTCCCTGAGGGGAGGGGTGAGGGATCACCTGGCTCCTGAGAGGGAGCTGGGGATCCCTCCGGCCCCTGATGGGGGCTGAGGGACCCCCTGGCCCTTGTGGGGGAGATGGGGGACCCCAATCTCAGAAAGGGCAGCTGAGGGACCCCCTGGCCTCTGAGGGGGCACTTGAGGGACTCCCCAGACCCCTGAGAAGGAGCTGAGGGACCCCTGTGCCCCCCTGTGGGGGGACCCCAGACTCTGAGAACGGACTTGAGGAACCCCCAGGCCCCCGAGGGAAGACCCCAGCCTGTAAGGGGAGACCCCAGGGAGGACCTGGGGGGTGACCCCAGTCCCTGAGGGAGCACTGAGGGACCCTCCCAACCTCTTTTCCAGAGGGAATGAGGCAGCTGGAGTCCCCTGGAGCCCCTTTGGTGGGGGATAAGGGGGTGGCTGAGACCCTCTTGGATGGGCAGGAAGGGGAGCTGATGGTCCCTCCTTCTCATGGATTTGGTAGTGGAGAGAGGTGGTGCTGAGACCCCCCCAAACCCCCTCAGTGGGGTGTCAAGGGGTCTTGGACCTCCCCAGCCCTGGTGGGGGGGGCTGTGAGGGCCTGTGGGTGGGGTTGGTGCAGGTTTATGGATCAAACTGCTCCCACCCACGGGAGAAGATTCCTTTCCTACATCAAAGAAATAATCCGTAGCTGTGGAAAATCCTCAGGATTGGGTCCCTGGCTGTGCAGGGAATGGCTGGGAGGGCTCGGAGAGCCAGGCAGGAGTTGCTGGAATCCCTCAGGATTCCAAACTCGGAGGAGTCTGTGGGGTGGGAGCAATGTTGAGTCATTCCAGAATTAGCTCTGAAGTTTAATTAAGTGGGAAGGTGCTTCCCAGCCTACTCATCCTGAAACTTTTCAGGGAGAGGAGCTGGAGAGGGTTGTGCCTGTCATGGAGGCAGGATGTGGGATAGGGAGCACCCCATGGATATAGGGGGCTGCTCCATCCCTGTGGATCAGCTGTAGCCTGCTGGGAAGAGGGACTGAGGGTGGTGATCCACCTTGGAAGTGGTTGTACCTTCCACAGGGTGTATTTGGGATAGCCTGTGCTGGAACCTGAGGGAATTCTGTGGCAAAACTGGTTTGGGATGGAGAGCACTGTTTTTTTTTTAGGATTAAAATGTGTATTGGTGTGAATCCCAGACTGGTTTGGGATGGAAGGGACCTGAAGGATCACCCAGTGCCACCCCTGCCATGGGCAGGGACACCTTCCACTACCCAGGTTGCTCCAGCCTGGCCTTGGACACTTCCAGGGATCCAGGGGCAGCCACAGCTTCTCTGGGCAACCTGTGCCAGGGCCTCCCCACCCTCCCAGCCAGGAATTCCTTCCCAGTATCCCATCTAACCCTGCCCTCTGGCAGTGGGAAGCCATTCCCCCTTGTCCTGTCCCTCCATCCCTTGTCCCAGCTCCCTCTCCAGCTCTCGTGGAGGTGTCAGGGATGTTGTTCCCTGATCTGGAGATCCTGACCTGCTGTTCCATGGCAGGGAAGAAGCCCCTCAGTGTCCGTGTTCTTCCCGAGGATTGTTTTCCATCCTGCCAGGATGGAAACTGCCCGGGCAGCTCTGTTTGCTGGGATTTGCTGTCCCTGCCTCAGGCCAAGGTACAAGTGCTCCCTGGGGACACATCCTGCTGGAATCCTGTGGAATGCACCACGGTCAAACAGGCAAGGAATATTCATCCTGTTCTCCGCTGACAAATTTAGGGGGGATAAAATGAATAACATCCTATTTATAGCTCCTGCTCCTGCCTGCCTGCTCGGAGCCAGAGGAGGGAGGTCCAAGTGCCAGGCTGGCACCTCCAGGAATCTTGGCCAAACTGTTGGAAGAGAGAAGGTTTGTGCCTTTCCAAATCCTTGGAGAGCAGAGTTAACGGGAGCCCCTCTTGTTGCTGCAGCTCCTCCTTCGGTCCCAAATTGCTCCAATGCCATTTTTCCATGACTAATTCCAAGACCAAATAGAAAAGTCTCTTAAAATACAATCCAGGCCTGGAAAATTGAAGTAATTCCAAGCTCTGGAGAGGCTGTATTATTTGTTCCATGTGCAGGCCTGTCACTGACAGGTGACAGTCCTCTTGGCTTCTCTTCCCTCCTAATCCCAGTTTTCCCAAAGCAGGCTGTTTTCCAAAGCAAACCCCCCAGACTGGAGCAGTTGCACCCCGAGAGCTGACACAGAAGTGGAGGAGCCTGTGGATCAGTGGAATTCCAGACAGCTCAGGCTGCCTGCCTGATTCCAGCTCCTTCATCCTCCCAGTGCTTGGCTGCTCTGCAGATCTTGGAGCAGGTCTGGGAGATCCTCCAGGAAAACCAGCCCAGAAGGAGAGAGGATATCTGTTTGCTTGGAGGAGCTGGAGACCTGCAAGGCAGAGAGCTGCAGGTTAAGGATCTGACTCCAGTCTTGTCATGCAGCAGTTGGGAGCTGGTTTGGATCGTGACAGGATGTGTTGGAAGAGCTGCCATCAGCTCTTCCCTTACAGAAACTGGGAGCATTTCTGCTTCTGGGACTCCATGAAATGTCTTTTTGCTGTCCTTGCAGGAGCAGGGCTGGAGCTGACCCCCTCGGGATGCTCCCTGTCCCTGGAGGACATGGAGGGACTGGGATTCAGCAAAGCAGTTCAGATCCTCTGAGTTGGCAGGGAATTCCCTGGGAATTTGGGTTTGTTGGACGTGCAAAGGGGATGTGATTTCTGCTTCAAAGCCATTGGTTACGTTATCATGGAATCCTGGGATGGTTTGGAATGGAAGGGATCCTTAAGGATCATCCAGTGCCACCCCCTGCCATGGGCAGGGACACCTTCCACTAGCCCAGGGTGCTCCAACCTGGCCTTGGACACTTCCAGGGATCCAGGGGCAGCCACAGCTTCTCTGGGCAACCTGGGCCAGGGCCTCCCCACCCTCACAACCAGGAATTCCCTCCCAGTATCCCATCTGGCAGTGGGAAGCCACTCCCTGTGTCCTGTCCCTCCATGCCTTGTCCCCAGTCCCTCTCCAGCTCTCCTGGAGCCCCCTTAGGCCCTGCCAGGGGCTCTCAGCTCTCCCTGGAGCCTTCTCTTCTCACCCACCAACACCCCCAAACCCTTCCCCTCCGGTCTCTTCTCATTCTCCATCCAGCCTGGATTTGTGCTTGGAATTGCCTGATCCAGGTGCAGTCCATGACCTCTCCCAGCAGAACCGTGCTGGGATGGGTTGGACACAGCTCCCCTCCCGCTTTGGCCTCTCGGTGACTCCGGTGCCAACGTCACGGAGAGAAGAGGATTTTGGGGAATGCTGGAGGTCTTTCCTGCCAAAAACTCCAGACTCCTCAGCACTGCGGGGCGGCGACATCAGGAAAACAATAGATGCCTTTCTTCCACCTACACCATTTTCCTGGAGAAAGGCTCCCTGTTCCCGGGAATTTGTTAACATTTGTGCTGTGGGGGTGTCCGGGAGCACATTCCTTTGGAGACGTGTCGGGAGGGAATTCTGTGACTCCTGGGGTCTGGAAGGATGCTTGCAAAGTTCCTTTTTCCTGGGAAGCAGCTTCCTTTCCCTTAAAAAAAAGGGAGCTAAAATTATCCACTGTAAAACAGAACATCCTGGAATGATATCAGGAGGAGGATGAGCTCTTTCCCACTTTCTCCTTAGACTTGGGTGATTCCAGCCTGAATCCATCAGGTAGGAAAGTGTGTTTGTTTGGTCCTGGGAAGGGAGATCCTTTGGCTCTAGAGGTAGGGAGCACTCTGGAAGCAGAAGACACGAGGATGAGCCGAGTGGACACATTCTGTGTGCTCACCCTTGGAAGTGTTTCCCATTTTCTACAGGAAAAACTTGTCCTTTGCCTGCAGCAAGAAATGGAGTTGTTCCTTCGGGACTTGCCACCCAGTGCTGGTGGAATGAACATAACGATGGCTTTGGAGCAGAGATCCCAATTTATCCATCTCCCTGAGGGCCCTCAAGCTTTACAGGAGCAGGTTCCAAAAAGAAGGAATCCCAGTTTTTGTCTTGTCCACAACCAGGAAATATTCCCGAGCTCTTTGCTGGTGCAGCTCCGTGGATGTCACTGCTCCCAGGGATCATTCCCAGTGCAGGACCACCCAAAAGGGTGGTGCTCCAGACATGAGGGATGGTACAGCTCTCATTATCCCATCAGGAATCTTGCAGGATGACTGTGGATGTTGGCTTTTGCAATGCCCAGGTGTGTTAGGGATAATGAGGCTGTTTGGGATGAGATCAGGGCGCTGCATCCCTGGAACTGGAGTGTGGGGGAACCCTCAGCCCTTGGACAGCACTGACATCCATTGTGTTGGGACTTGGAGCATGGAATCATGGAATGGGTTAGGTTGGAAAAGCCCTCTGTGATCAGCAAGTCCAACCCTCCCCCAGCACTGCAAAGGCCACCACTGACCATGTCCCCAAGTGCCACATCCACAGGGCTTTGAAATCCCTCCAGGGGTGGGGACTCCCCCTGGGCAGCTGTGCCAATGTGTTCCAACCCTTTCCATGAAATTATTTTCCCAATATCCAGCCTGACCCTCCCCTGGCACAGCTGGAGGCCGTTCCCTCTCCTCCTGTCCCTTGTTCCCTGGGAGCAGAGCCCGACCCCCCCCGGCTCCCCCCTCCTGTCAGGGGGTTGCAGAGCCAGAAGGTCCCCCCTG